AAAATTCGATTGTGTTCCTCTCCGCAGTGGGCCAAAAACGCCAAACAAACTGCATATGTTAAACACTTAGAAGATTTCAAGCCCCTTGTCCTCTTCCAACCACACCTCCCAGCCAGAGATATTCATTGTTTATATCTCTAAAATGAATTCTGATCGAATTTTAATGAAATTTTTTTCAAATAATTAGGTGTGGACGAATTTTATGGCTGAAATCTGTGATTTTTATGCAAAGCAAATTATCAGTTATTACTTTATAGGCCATCTAAATTGGTGGTGCTGGAATGGTAGCGGGCAGCGTTTGTGGCCACTGAGTACCACTGGTGATGGCAATTGTCTTCTTCACGCGGCATCTCTTGGCATGTGGGGTATCCATGACCGACAACTTATGCTGCGAAATGTCCTCCATGAGATGCTCACCAGGTATGAATGCGCACTTTGTTTGTCGTGATGTATTAGCGCCAAGTAAAAAGCCTCCTAGCTTTCGTGGTTGCTGAGTTGGAAGTGGGTGACAAAGTTTATTCGTTACCGAATGCGCACATACACGGACGACCTCTCGACAGTAAGCGTTTTTGCTCAGCATTATAGCAAAAAAAAAACATTTAAAAAACTAGAATGAATTATATAATCATTCAGCAGTTCTATCCTGCGAATTCCTGAGTGAAGATGATGTGATGTCTGATTGTTCAGGGATTACGAATCCAGGATATTTTTTGCAACTTAAAAAGTGATCTTTCTGGACCAAGAAGGCCATTTTTTGCCTTCGAAAAAAGCATGTCTTCACATTGATCGTTTTTCCTTTTTTTTGTTCTAATTAACGATGAAAATGAAGCTGAAAACAGTAGTTTGCACAAATTTCCGAGGTCAATTTGGAAAGTTCCGTTTTTTCAGAGGCAGTAGGCGACACACTCTTTGGCGTCGTTGGCGCTGGGCCGAAAGTAAGTCAAATTTGCAGTCAGGCCTTGTTCTCACTGATGAAGAATGGCAACGCGAATGGGACAATATTCTGCATATGGCTGCAGCAACACCAAGGACACTTACGAATTTGTTCGTTGTTTTTGCCTTTTTTTCTAGAAACATGCCTTTTTTTGTATTATAATTGGATTTTGCCGCATCCTAAGGTTGCAATTTTTTTTTTCGGGAAAAATTTTTTCTGAGGAACCTGGTTTT